GTATGTTGAAATCTTTGTGAGTCTTCCTTCTGGCTCGTGCATCAGTGCTTGTGGCTGCCAGCTATTCAGAAATATCCTTGCATTGAAACCTTATTTTTATCTAATTTACTGGGGGAAAAGAAAAAAAAAAAAAACAACACCAAACCAAACCAACCAAAAAAAATTTGCCTCTGAAGTCAAGACAGAAAAACAAAATGTTTATTTTTTTGAAATTGTGGTCTTAAAAGTTTTTCTAAATGACTGTATTAAGCTTTTAGGTAAGCTTCTTTATATTGCAATAAACAAGTACTTATATGCAAGAAAATCTCGGCAAAATACATTGCACAGGTGCTACGCATCTTAGGGATTTGAAAGGTGTGTTATGTATAAATTAGCTGTCACTTTTTTTCAATCCTGTAATGGAATGATGAGTTGTAATTTGCATAATCCTTTAAGAAGTCAAATTATACTGTCATGTAGCAGACTTAACATGCTAGCTAAGATTTCAGAGCTTTGCAGCTAATTACTATGTACCTTACAGGACAGTTAAATTGAAGTTGAGTCCTCTGTCTTTGGTGCCATTTGCTTTGTCCATTACTTCACCGCATCTGCACGTTGGGTAACGAGGTGTTGTTACAATCTCTGAAGTAAACACGCTGCTCTGGGGGTGGAAATGGCATTTCCATACGTCATAGTTTGACTTGTATTGCCTTTGCTAAGAAGAAAGGTTTTTTTTTTTGTCGTTGTTGTTGTTTTAATAGTCGTCCAATTGGAATCTTCCAAAAGAGGACAAAAATTTATGCTTTATGGAATACTGATGGAAGTGATGTTAGCATTTAATTAAATTCCCCTATAGAAAATGGAAAGTAACAAACATAATTCCACTGAAGGCATTAGTCTTTATCCATATACACTTTGCAAATATACCTTGGTTTATTTTTGTCTTCATCCTCTTAACTTCTTTTGCAGTAGAGTGTCATTGTTGAAAAAAGTGCCCCCTTGTCCTTAAAAATCCTTTCTGAACACAGTTGGTGAGTTCTCCTTTCATTTACTCTTTCAATTGGTTATAAAGCATTTTTTTTTCATGGTTTCCATTTAAAAAATGCTCAGGAAATTCTGGTGGCTATGAAAGCTGCTCTCTGTAATGGGTGAGAAATGGATACTGGGTGGAGCTGGGACTGTCCCCTGCCTAGCATGGCTTAGTTGACTGTAGCACTGTGTGTTTATTATGAACACATACTTATCTCAGGCTTTATTTCTTAATATTGCTTAGATAGTGTTATTCTCTTTATTAGAAACGGTGTAATTATAATGCATTTTTTCCCTATTATTCTTTATTATTTGTAAGTCATCCATGGCTTTTGGCGGCCAGGTTTTTGTAAATTGTTAGTGATTTTGTGGCTTTGTTGTGATTCTGGGATACTCTGAAGAAGCTTTTTGTTGCAGAAGATGAAGGTCCTTTAAGGACCATATTAAAGCAACTGTTTGATATTGACCATTCAAATAACTGGAGATTAGTAGTCAACTATTCATTTGTAATTACTATCTGCTGAGAGGCTGAGATTTGTCGATTTAAAATCAGGAGCCTGATTGGGACCACCAGGCACGTGGCCCGTGGTGAGGATTCTCTTCTAACCGGAGGTACGATTTCAAGGGTTTGCTTTTTAAAGAATCGGTGTTATTTGTAGTCAAGGTAGACACGGTAGGCAGCACAGCTGTGACTGCCAGGGAAAGTCACTGGGGGGATATTCATAACAAGGAAATATTGGCAAATAAATGATGAAGAAGGGGAGGAAATCCCCAAGATGTTAAATTGGAGCACTGTCATGGAGATGATTAATGGTGTTGTGTATTTTAGTGAAGATGCTTATCTGAATTGTCTTGAAACTATAGTGTACATTTAATAGCGCCTATAAAAAAGCATGCAGTACGCAGTACGCTGCAGAGAAAAGGATTCAGATTTTACTTTCCTGAGTGAGTATTTTCTCCAATGGAATCTTTGGCTTCTGCTTATTAGAAAGCTGGTGTTAATGTATATTATACACAGAATATGTCTATTCTATATTTTTAATATTAATCAGCAATTACATAGCTCCTTTCCATAGAAGATTAAAGAGATTTTACCAAAACATGGGTATCCTTTTAAAACCCTTGAGGGTGAATATTTTCAAGAATAGGAGACGGTAATCACTCAGATCCAGGCTTCCTAAGCAACCAGTGAGGACAGTGATGCCACCGTGGGTGAAGCGTTAAACTTTCGTCAAGGATAGGGTCAGTACAATTTTTAAAAATATTTCACATCCATTGCTGGCAAAGCAAGGTGGCTTTCTTGGAAGTTTCTCTACCTTTCAATGTCGAGCTATAAATATTCTTATTCTGTGGCATGAATTATCACGCATGTGGTGGGTTGTTCAGCAAAGACAGAAGGTGAATCTTTGTGCAAGTTACTTAACCTCCTTACGCCCCAATAATTACTGCTAGACATAAGAATAGACAGAGACAAGTAATCTATATGCCTGTCTTCAGGGAGCTTACAGTCTATTACAACAGTGCTTTTCAAACTCTGGGTTACCCAAATAGTGAAATATGAACCCAACTTAGTGGCTCAATATCAGAGTGTTATTATTGTTTATTACTTTTAAGACAGAGTCTCACTCTGTCACTCTCTGGCATAAGAGCTCACAGCAACCTCAACCTGTTGGCCTCAGACTCCCAAGTAGCTGGGACTACAGGCGCCCACCACAACACCCACCTAAAGCCAGAATTTTAAACATGAAATGAAAAATTATGGAAAATTTTAGTGCATTGCAGTTAGAGCACGTTTTATTTTGTGAGGCTTCTGTTTTAGTTTTACCTGTTTGAGTACATATAGCTACACATATGTCGCGTACACTGGGTGAGTCATGAAGTAGATATGTTTCACCTGTGTCTCACAGCCAAAAAAGAATGAAAGCCACTGAAATAGAGTTGAGGGGTGAAGATACAAACATATGTACAGATGTGATCTGTGTATGTGTTCAGGGCACAGTGGATTACAAAGAAAGACATCACCAGTACTATGGAAACGACCAGAAACGAAGCAGCTACAACTATTTGGTCTCTCATATCCAGCGATGTGCTGGAGCCCACTTGAATGGGCTTAGTGAGCGCCAATGGCACACACCTCCCTCTTGTTCATGCTGTGATTGGTGACCTCATATTAGGAACTTGAAATTGGAAAATGCTGCAGATCAGGGTTCTCCCACCTTCAACAGGTTGATGAACATTCACCAGGGTATCAGTGCCCATGTTCCTTCCAATTTTAATTTTATGGTTTGTGATTATTGTGAATTATCTTATTTAATAACATTTTATATGTTGCAATTTGATTTTACTGGGAATTTTTAAAAAGATCAGGTGATTATTTCAATAATATTTGAATCAAACAGGAATATAACACCTGAGATTATTTCTATAATTTTAGTGCAAAATAATGGTCATAGTTGCACTAACTTTTTCCTTTAGGTACTTATGATCCTTCTAACTTAAAACTTTAAATTTTAATTGGTGATATTAAGTTTTGTGGCAAAGGTTAGGAATATGGTGTTTTAAAAATAGCAATAATAAAGAAAATAATTTACAAATGTTGTGGTTTTATGTTAAGCAGTCATCTGGCTAAGTAGTCACACTTTTAGGTTTTACAGTAATATGTCTGCATTTGGTGAAATCACCTGCAAAGTACTGAATTAAGCTGGGAAATGCTAAAGTTTTTTTCAAAGTAAAACAATTGTCAATCTGTCTTTTTTTTTCTATTTGCAAATATAAAAGTAAAAATATTATAGACAGTCTGAAAAAAGGAGAAAGCCACCTCCCTCCATAACAACTTGGAACTGTTTTAAAGAAAGGAGGAAAATCTTTGGTGAATCACAGGAAAGGAAACCCTCCTTGATGTGGGATGAAGTGGTAGTAACAAGGCCATAGACAATCACCTGTGTTAGGAATATCTGCTTGTTGGGAAAGACAAGCAGGCAGGAAAGAGTCAGCCGAGCAAGGCGGCTATAGCCTCCAAATTTAAGTCGCAGTTCAATGTGGCCACTCCCAGAGAGGGGTGTGAGGAGAGTGGGCTCCTTAAAGCCATGTTCAAGAACAATCATTTCAACAGTGTTAGGAAAAAAAAAAACAACTGAGTGAGTCTGAGGAAACGGGAACTTCATTTACTCACTTTGCTGATGCTTATTGAGCAAGTGCTGTGTCACTGCGTTAAGCACTGCAGTACCTATTTTAAACAGAGGGATTTACCTGGGGTCCTTAGTCTCAATGTGGACGCCCGGATTGAGACAGTGTTTGTGATTGACTCAGGTGGCTATCACCTAACAGGGAAGAGGCCAAGGGCAAAATTGTAAGGTCTGTCTTTATTTAATTGTACTCTCTTTTGCACTCTCCCTCCCATATCTTGGCCCCCCTCTGTGAAATTCACACCCCCTGGCTACCCAGCTGGTGTTTCCACCCTGGCCCTCATCCACACGGGGCATTATTTGTTTGCACCCCCTTATTGCAGATCAGCCGCTGTTAACTGGTAATATACTCTTCTCAGGACAATTTGCATTCTAATAAGCGATTCCAGACTCCAAGTAAGTGATTCCAGAAAAAAAAAGGGAGCCTTCTCCAAGAAAATAATTTCAGACATCATGATTGGGTACACAGAAATGAATTTGGGACTGGAGGGAAGAAAAGTTTCTTCCTGCCCTGAAAATAAAAAAGACAGAATGTAGATGTTCTTCTGTTCAGAGCAGTGTTAAGGCTGGCCTGGGCCCAGAGACGGGGGTTTGGAAAAGGGACGATTCAGACTCAAAAGAGGGAAGGAACAAGGTCCAGGGGAGAGGCGAGGAGGATGAGTGAAGAAGGAAGGAACTCCCAGCCTTTATTGGCTGTGGAGTGCCAGACAGAGTGCTAAGCACTTTCACCTGTTATCCTAATTAGGGCTATCAGAACAGGTGCCTTGTCAGGCAGGCTGCCGGGGAAGATGGTCACCTCTGTGGAAG